ACTGACTGACTGACTAACTTGATGGATGGATAGCTAATAGCCACACATATTATCCTAATATAATACCAAAATGTGAAAATGTGTACCTGAGATATAGCTTGTGTGTTTATTAATCTTGTCTTGCTTGATGAGTTCAGCATTTAATACTGCATTTACAAACAGTAAAATATATCTCATTTATTATGTAGATATCAATGAAATATCCGGTTTTCTCTAGTGTTGAAAACTTGATATCTTTCGCCAGTGGGAAGATACCATATCTTTCACACGTGAAGATATCGCTGTTGAATCGGCTTGCTATTTTAATAAAGAATTTTTGAGCTTTTGTTTTATTTAAGTTTCATCGATATCTATATAATAAACAGAACATTACATGGCCGCTTGGAGATACGAATTTCATCTTCTCATGTTCAATTTAGATATCTCACTCGTTTGCTGCGCTCACTCATGAGACATCAATTGAACACTTGAAGATACAATTCCCACCCATGTGATATCCTCTATTTAATAGACTTTCTACAATATAGATATTACCATTGAAACCTTCAAAATAATCTTATTGATACCCTGAAACCGTTTTACAGAAGAAATATGCTCGATAACACAAAAAATGATTTCTGAATTTTTTTTGGTTTTGTTGATATTGTCATCATTATATATTGATCAAAATACCTGGTCCTTCTTGTTTTTGAAACTTTTCTGTCAACTTCTTAGTGACTTCATATTCTTCAGGAGTAAGGAGTGGTTTCTGTGATGCCAGATAACGGTGACAAGTATTTTCTAGCTTTGGTATTGGGAGTCTTGGTAGACTATCTTGGTAATGGTATGTGTAGACTTTACTTTTAGGCAGGATGTATTTATCTTCATCAGAACTTTAAGAAAGATTTTAGAAGTATATTTAGTATTTGATCTTTAAAAGTATAATAAAAGCACAGAAACTGCAACTATGATCAGCTACAGATGGTGCTTAGTCAATCACAGTTTGAGTAATAAAAAGATCCTGGTCTGTGAGTGAAAATACCAGTGACAGGATTTAAATTTTACCTAATGGAACTCACAGTTTAATGGACTTGACTCGGTGATGCATATGTTAGTAGAATTGCTTGTTAGGTCACTCCTGTGTGTTTTTTTCAATCTGTATATGTGAATTGTGCGTTTGGGGGGGGAGGGAGTGGGTGGGGTAAAGAATTTGGATCTTTAGCTTAACGTTCAATTACCCTGCGATTGAGCTCCACAGAGGGTCAGAAAAAAAACCTCTGTTGCAGGGTAAGGTTCAATACACATGAAATTATGAATATGAGAATTCAACCCTGGTTGCATTGCTGAGGTGGAAGCACTACAGCTACAGCACCCATTTTTTCAATGACGCATAAAATGAAAACAATGAAGCATAAAATGGAAATTGTTTTGGAGGTGTACCCACTACCCCTCCCTCAGCTGCATAACTGCATCCCACCCAGCAAGATTAATCCAAATAATTTAACTATCAGATAACTAAATCAAAGAAGACAAATAAATCGCAATCATAATTGGCAAAATATTCCATAAATACCAATCTTACCTCTGTGTGGTGCTTTGAAACCGTCTTGAATGTGACAACAATGAATGGCTACCGGTTACCTGCAGAGTGTAAACAATATTTTACATGAACTCAAATTTATTGATGTCCAAATATAACGAGTATACGGCAGAGAATGCTTACCAAATGTACGGTAGAGATTGGTTTTAAAAATAACTAGAGCTTAGAAATATCTACAACTTCTGACAGACGACAACACTTACCTTTCTTACAAAACGAAAATAATTTAGCGCGCTAATTTTATTGCCATGAAGCAATCTATAAGATGCCATTCTTAGTTCTATAATCTAAGGAGCCAAGCTACAATTCTAGTGGTAAAAATAAACAAAAAGGTTGAGTTCAAAGTCCAGCAGACAAACTCCTTCATTCATCCGCCATCTTGAATCTGAAGCATCGATGGTTGATAACAGCGGGTAGTATGCGTGAATGGTCAATTCTTGCCTGCGCATCAAAAGCTACTGAAGCCGGACGAAAATATACCAAAATGGCTCTTTTTTCGAGAGTTTTTCGCCTAGGTAGACGAACCACCCAGGTATTTTATGTATTCCAGGTGTTAAATAGTTTATAAAGATCATGCTGATGGGTTTATTTTGTTTTTAGAATGCAATAACTGGGGCTTTTGGACGGACATTTTCGACTAGTCGACATCTTGCAGGGGCTACTGTAAGTAAGCTTATTTCTTTACTTACGTGGATTGTTTATATCTTCATATTGAATGGATTATTCTGCTTATTGCCAATTATACCCTAATATTTATTGTCCGCTATACAACGAATATGTACCATTGGACATCTAGTTTCAAGATTTGCAGAAATATCAGCTACGATTTGCACCCCCAAAACAGCTGTTTTAGATTGATTGATTGACATATGAGTAGTAAGCTTCCTGTATATAATTGAGTCTGTTAATTTTTTTTTACTAGCTGACAGTTAGGGAAGCACTTAATAATGCTATGGACGAAGAGATGTCAAGAGATGAGAATGTCTTTCTTCTGGGCGAAGAAGTTGCTCTGTACGAGGGTGCATACAAAGTACGTTTTTAGTACAAGCACATGTACTGTATGTGGCAGGAAGCTACATTAGTCTATAATAATTATCGTTAAATTTATATTAATTTTTAAAACATTTAAGGTACATTTGCTTTATAGCAGTTTTCATTATAACACAAACTTGGTAGCTGCTTGCTAATCATTTGGTTTTTCACTTCCATCAATCAATAATAATCAATCTGTATTGGAGGTAATGTAAGACCAATGAAATTACAGCTACAGGGTTCCTGTTTTACCATGAATAATTGACAAGCTTTAGCCCTTTTTAAGTTTGACAATCAAGGTGCATTCTGGTCTAGCTTGAGTCAAAGCAACATTTTGCAGTATAAGGTTTGATGCATGGAAGATTTTTATACCCAAGCTATACCACAATGCACTATCTAAGCAAAGGCCCGGCCTTGATGAGTACAGCATTTAAAATGCTCCGCCTCGCACCAATGCAGCCCGAGTTTGAGTCCTGCCAATCTTGATGTCGTATGTGAGTAGAGTTGTTTGTTGGTTCTCTCCTGTGCTTYGAGGGTTTTTCTCTGGGTTCTCCAGTTTTCCTCCCTCTGCAAAAATCAACTTCTAAATTCTAATTCGATCTTTGGGCTTTCACCTAGTTTGGAGCCTAGCTCTGTTGTGATTGTCCCATGCAGTGATATAACAGCGAAAAGCCTTGTAGATCAAAACTTTCAAATCTTATTGATACAGTGTACCTTGAAAACAATCTCCATGTGCAGTGAGTAATTTACAGATCAAATTGGAATTTAGCTGGCTTTAATTAGGTTTAGTGGAGGAAGAAAAACCAGGGAACCCATGCAGATAAAGATGAGCGTGTTATGGGACCTCCTTCCAGAAAAAAATCAAGCAAAGATTCTTTTCCCATAGATGTTTAAATTGGAAATATTTAGAAATGGGAAATAAACGGGATTTTTGTACTGCTCCTCATAAGAAGTGTCTTATTCTATTATCATTTCATTCCCAAAAGGTTAGCAAAGGTCTTTATAAGAAGTTTGGTGACAAGCGCATCATAGACACACCTATAAGTGAGGTTAGTTTGTTATATATTGTTTAGGCTGGAAACAAAAAAATAAGTGTGTTTCCTGTTGCATGAGAAAAATAATTTGGGTCGGTAGGTCAGATTTTTTTACTGATACAGCAGTGGAAATCAGCTTACTGGGAACCCTGTGGTGCATTTGGAAATGAATAAAATATTAGAGTCGGCAAAAATCGGTATGAAAATTATGGTCGGTTGTGCAACAAGAAACACATATTTTTTTGTTTGGCCTTATATATATTATGGTTTTGATTACAGAGGTTTGTACTAAATTTGACTGTGCATTACTGTGGTTTTTATTCTGAGAATGGAATAGTTAAAAGCTGTATGCTTTTTAATTTTTAAAAAATTTTTTGCTGCCATCAATCAAAAATAATCAGTCAATACCTTTTATATTTTTTTGGCATCCGTGTCCAAGTTCGCAGAATCCGTCCAATGTAATGAAGTATGCCATGTTGCTCTAGAATAGAGGTTTTGCACCATCATATGATAGCAGCCATGACAGGAGGCACAACTATAGTCTTTTTCCCCTGGGAAACTGAATTGTTTCTCATGCAAACCAGATTTCATTATTCCAGCCTCCTGTCATGGCTGCCATCACAATCATGTGCAAAGCCTCCATAGCTACATTATTGTAGTTAACTACATGTATCTAGGATGCAAGACAATTTGATGGAAATGAAATGTTGGACTGTTATACAGTACTTGTAAATTCTATAAACTAAGTACGATTGTGAGATGACAATACCATGAAATATTGACAGCCAGTTGGGAGAAAATATATTCGGTATTCGTGACTCCGCCCAATACGGAATATATTTGCTTCCAATGCCATCAATATTTCGTGGTATTGTCGTCTCAAAATCGTAATTAGTTTTGTATCACGATTCTAAAGAATTCAACACATGAAAAAGGAAAAAAACTGACCGATTTTCGTTGATTAAAAGCAAAATTCTCCCCACGAGTGCGTGCTATAGTGCAAACAACAGCGTAAAAATTTGGTTTGGTACTTGAGAAGGTATTGATTTAATAAAGGGTGACCACGACTTAATTAAGGGGTTTGGTTAGAGATACTGTATCACTGTAGTAGGTTTTGTTCAGAATTTTTGTACCAAGATTCAGTCAACTGTCTATGACCTCAATGAAACCTCTTTCTGTCATTGGCTATGCCTCAAATATCCTGCCTTGTATACATCAGCCTCTAATCCTGTTACCCTTGTAATTGGCTATGGGTGTGGCTGTTATAACTGTACTGTAAATAGCTCAAGATATTTTTATATTAAATTTTATTTTGTTATGGAATTCTTTCAGATGGGTTTTGCTGGTATTGCTGCTGGTGCTGCAATGGTAAGTTAATTCCAAGTTAAAAGCATGTCTGTTTAGAATGTTGAAAAAATCAATAGCATACATTTTTTAAAAGCATTTATCCACACTGTAATTTATTTGTGTTTATTTAGGCTGGTCTTAAACCAATATGTGAGTTCATGACCTTCAACTTTGCTATGCAAGCTATTGATCAAGTGAGTATGCCATTATAAAGAAATAATAGTCTTTTTGAAAATAAAAATATAAATTGACAGTCTAAAAAGCCCTATGGTGAAGTGCTCAATAAAGTATATATGTAATACTATGCAAAATATATAATTATACCTTACTGACTTAACAATAAGTTCTAAAATGATGCAAAATGAAATTTGCTTTTTGTTGAACAGTGTACACAATACACCAGTTTCACATTTGTTGCATACCGCTGTTTTCTAACACCACAGAGTCATTTGCACAGGCTCAGCCTCGTCTATACGTCAGGTATTCACAGACACCATAAAAAGTCTGTGGGATTTCAAAACATTGCTATTGTTCAAGCTGCACATTTTTTACATTGCATTATTTGTATTTTGCATTTGCATCTGTATCTAGCTCTTAAAGAATCCTAGTCAACTACGATGCACTGCACACCGGAAACAATGTGCATGCAGAGCGTCATTTTCCTCGCCAGGCAAAATGGTGGTTTTGTAGCTGAAGTTTTTTTCCTGTTAGATGTGTTATGACCATCATGATATAATGATATATAGTCACTTAAAGCTTTCCATGAGATTTGAGAAATTTTGGCAAGGAATCTAAGGTAGATTTTGAAAGACTGTTTTGATGTCTAACATTTGGATGACCAAAAAATCATAATTTCACAAAGAGAATCTCTCTGAAAAATTCAGCGGGCCTGTCAGCCTACTTGCTGTAGAATGAAAGGAAGGACAGTTTTGGAATTTGAGGACATTGGCATAGTGAATTTGCAGAAATTTCGCTGCACTGGTGTATGGAAGAGCTTCGAGAAGGATGTAGGTGAATGATATAAACAATAACATAGGGGTGCAGTGCATTGTATTTTAAGCAAGGCTAAGTCTGTGCAGATAAGTCTTTGGATATAAAACACAGAGGTATTTACTGAAAGAGAAAAGAAACTATTAACATAGTTATTGATAGGGCCATATGGGAGAAGCATTGGGAATCGAAGCACGGGTGGGTAGCAGTGAGAGCACTTACCTCTCATGAATGCACCCCAGGTTTGATCTCAGGATTCTGTGTCATATACAAGTAGAGTTGCTTGTTGGTTCTCCACTGTGATTCTAGGGTTTTTCTCTGGTTTCCCTCCCTCTGCAAAACATTTTCTTCTAAGTTCTTCTGGGAATTTCAGCGGACAAATCAAAGAGCTACTCTGTAGAAATTCCCATACTGCTAAATTCCATTTATTTTATTTTTGATCAGAGGGTTGGGCTACTAGGTGCTTGTGACCCCTCTTCCCATAATTAGCAGTTTATTAGCTAAGTCTACCTTCATCTGATTGCCTGGAGAAGTAAGAAACAAGTTATTCATTATTGTACATATATTGATATTTCTTTATTTTGCAGGTTATCAACTCTGCTGCTAAAACATACTATATGTCAGCAGGAGATGTAAGTAATGTCACTCAGCTACACCTTGTGTGACTCGTTCACTTCTTTTGTGCTTAGCAACCTCCTGCGTGCATCCAGAACTGGATTTACAAACGCTAAGCATTGACCATTCCTTAATTATTTTTCAAGGTTCCAGTACCCATTGTGTTCAGAGGACCAAATGGAGCTGCAGCTGGTGTAGCTGCACAGCATTCACAGTGTTATGCTGCCTGGTATGGTCACTGCCCTGGATTAAAGGTAACAATAGACTGGTACCTGTGTATCGTAGTAACTTATTTCTTTTCACTCTGACATTATAATCACTATATACTTGCAAGCTGTCTCTCTAAGTTGACGTCTTGTTTTTTATCACTTATGTGTATGCTGCCGTGACATGTCACACCTCATCACAGAACCATCTATAAGCCTGGAAAATATTACCACTATCATGATATAAATCAACTACATATGTAGTAACCCTTCCAATAATTCATTTTATCCTGAAGAACTCCTGAAGAAATGAACTGTGTGTTATGTTGACTTAGACAAGCAGGAATATTTTTATGCTTTTTTACCAACATTTTTTTTCTTCAGACCGCAAAACTTACTGTACCAAGTATGATGTTTCTGCTTGCTAACAGTTATAATAGACTAATTGTCTTTACTTTGATTCCAACCAGATTATAACGTTGATATTTCACCAAATTATTGCTCATTTGCATAGGTTGTGTCACCTTATTCAGCTGAAGATGCCAAAGGTTTACTCAAGTCAGCTATCAGGGAACCAAACCCAGGTACAGTAAATAATATGATGTTGCTATTGGGGGGCTTCATTTATTACCTCATGGGGAGTCTGCAAAATCACAAGGAAAGCTTGACAAACATAACCCAACCCCCCTCCATGCACAGCTTTTGACAACAATTCCATACTCCCCCCTACCCTTTCATCACCCCCTGAATATGTGTTAACCCCCTTATGCTTTTTTGGCTCTAAAAATTAATCTCACAATTTTTCTTACAACATTTTCTATGGAAGTTTAAAAATGTCAACAAACAAAAACAAACAATAGTTCTTTTACAGTACTCACTTTCCCAGGCTGCTTTGTGAGCTTTAATGCACATTGCATAATGTGGAACAGTAAAACAAATTGAAACATTTACATGTAATTTTCAGCCTACAGCTTTGGCAGATAGCATGGCCTCCAGTCTGTCTTGATAATTTAAGATATTATACTCAAGTTCAGCCGATAACTGTTAAATTTTATTATATATTATTTTCTCATACGTAGTTGTTGTACTTGAGAATGAAATCATGTATGGTGTTCCTTTTGAAATGTCTGATGAGGCCATGAGTAGTGACTTCCTTATTCCTTTGGGCAAGGCCAAAATAGAGCGACAAGGTACAGTTGCTAAATCCAGAAAGTAATTAGTTTGAAAATTAGAGAGAATATTAAGAGAAAAATGTCAAATGCCCAAGGCATTTTGAAAATTAGGTATCCAATATGTTGTGATAAGGCATGTATTTTATAGTATGTGGGTTTTAGTCATTTGCTTCACTGATGAATGATGGCAATGATAACATTACATGTTGATGCATGATTATGGCATATGTGATACATAATGGTAGTATTGATACATGGTGATGATGATGGTAGTGGTGATACATGGTGACGATGATGATGGTAGTGGTGATACATGATGATGATGATGATGGTAGTGGTGATACATGGTGATGATGTTGGTAGTGGTGATAAATGGTGATGATGATGATGGTAGTGGTGATACATGGTGATGATGATGATGGTAGTGGTGACACATGGTGATGATGATGATGGTAGTGGTGATACATGGTGATGATGATGATGGTAGTGGTGATACATGGTGATGATGATGATGGTAGTGGTGATACATGGTGATGGTGATGGTAGTGGTGATACATTGTGATGATGATGATGGTAGTGGTGATACATGGTGATGAAGGTGATGGTAGTGGTGATATATGGGGATGGTGATGGTGATGGTAGTGGTGTTACATAGTGATGATGATGGTGGTAGTGGTGATACATGGTGATGATGATGATGGTAGTGGAGATACATGATTATGATGTTGGTAGTGGTGATACATGATGATGTTGGTAGTGTTAATACATGGTGATGATGATGATTGTTTCGTTTATTGACGAAATGTTACAAGCTACGGTTTCAGAACTAATTCTCTTCGCGAGTTATATACGAGTTGGTTCGAAATCTAAAAAATGCGAAGCAAAATAAAGCGTTACTTGTGTAGAAAAATATATATAAAGTTTAAGCGATCTGACTTACCCG